AGGAGACTGAGGCAATGGGACAGAACCAGCTCTTTCTGAAGACCTGGGGTGGAGCTCAGCTTTCCTACTCACTCGCTTTCCTGACTCTGGGTCACTCACCTTTTCTCAGAGCCCCAGCGCTCTCCAGTTTTAAAATATCACCGAGTTTAAACAAAGAGCGGCGATAAGAAATAATAATAGTCAAATGTAGTATATTGGGTGCTACTCACAGTATATGTGGAATTATTGAAAAATATTATAAAAATAATTCCATATACTTTAGTAGGGACTGTAGGAGGAAAGAATAAGCCATTGTGACTTTGCAAAATCAATGAACCAAGGAAATGAAAGACAAAAGATCTGGTGGGAAAACAATTTTTTATAATTGTCTATGAGAAAAATATAAAACAAAAGAGATTTTATTTTTATAGCTTTGAGGGTAAACACTGCACTTATGAACTGCAGGAAATAAGATGTTATACTTGTAATAGTTGAAAATGCATTGTTTCGGAAGCAATATATGTGTGTATATATATATATATGTATACATACACACACACACACACATATATATGTATATAAACACCCTACTTTAAGAAGTTTATGATCAACTCATAGTTAGGTAAGCTATTTTCTTATTTTAGAAAAAAAAAAACTGTCCTGACTATAACTCATTTGGTGACATTACTGTACCCCAATATTAGTGTTCAAATATAGACTACAGAAAGACACTGGGATTGTGGGTATTTCAGAGAATTGCTATCAATATGGTTGTGATGGCTATTCTTGGAACTTGACCACACCTGGGATTAACTAAAACCCAATTGGTTGGGTACACTTATGAGTTTTTTTTTTTTTCTTAATTAAATAATTTGAAGTGAGAAGACCCACTTTTAAACAGATCTTCTTTGGTGGAAAAATCTACTTTTAATCTGGGCCACAGCTTCTCCTGGCAGCCGATATAAATGATGTAGAAGGAAGCTTCTCTCTGCCTGCTTGCTCTTGCTCTCACTGGCAAGTCCATTACTTCACTGGCATTAGAGCCTACTTCTTTGGGATTCTGGCGTATCTGAAAACCAGCTGAGGCATCAGCCTCATGGACTGAACAACTACTGGATTCTTGGACCTTTCTTTGGTAGAGAGCCTCTGCTGGACTAGCTGGACCACAGCCTATATGGCATTCTAATAAATCCCCTTTTTCTAAGTTCTGTTCCTCTAGAAAGAACCCTGGCTAATACAATACTGGGCATCTGAAAGGTCCTCAACAGTCAGTATTTAGGGAAATGTAAGTTAAAACTGAAATGAGATACTCTCCACATTGACCAGAATGGGAAAATAAGAGTTTTGTCAGGAGTTGTGAGGTTTGGAGCAATGGCACTCATATGTAGCTAATGTGGCTACATGTATCATGTTGGAAGACCATGTGGCATTATTTATTCAAGTTTATGACATACACTCTCAAGTAGAGATTACAGAGAAACTTATGTAGACGAGATAGAATCCATACTTATGGAACATCTGCAGCAGCCTTTTCAACAGCCTAAAACTGAACCCAGACTTCCAGTAACAACAAAATGGATAAAAGAACTGTTCTATAGTGTTACGATGGAACACTGTATATTCAGCAAGTAAAGGAAACAAATTACTCCTATAAGACCTGAAGGACATACAGATTACAGCAAGGTTGAGCCATATGGTAAGGATAACAGATTACATATTATCTCATTTACATAACATTCACAAGAAAGGGGCAAACTAAACAATGTCATGCTTAGGGATCAACACCTGGGATAAAACAATAAAGAAAAGTGAGGAAATGATTACCACAAATGTCAGAATAACAGAACCCTCCAGGAAGGAGAGCTGTGTTTACGGAGGTCAAGAGGGCTTTTGGCGGATTAGCAAAACTCCCTTCATTGGCTTGGCTGACTCTTACACATTAGCCTTTTTTTTTTTTTTTTAAATAATTACTCATAGTACACAACTGTCACTTATTTAAAGCCTATTTCACAAAATTGCTAAAAATTAGCTGATATGCTATAGTGGCATTTTTAGAAACTTTGCTGGGTAATCTAGGTTATATCTTTGACAGAAGAAACCACTGAAGTGGAATAATAACACATTGATTAGTTTTTCACACGAGGTCACTTTCAAGCGAAAAGTATGAACCCCACACAGACAACCCTTTGTCACACTTTAACAAAAGTAGGTGGATCTTCACAATAAGCTGATGAGCTGGGAAAGAAACCTTGTTAGCTAAAATAAGTTTTATTCTGGTCTACTTCTTCAGAAGTCTGATTTAACTGACATATTTCTCCTCTGGATTAACAGGCAATGTAAGGAACTGAAAGCTTACAGAACAAGTTAGAAATGTATAATTCCCTCCTACCAGCAGCCAGTGGCGTAACAGCTGTTTTTCCTGCTATCAGGCTGGGTGGGGAGTCGAATGGACCTTACTCAATTAGCTCACTGGAACTGCTATTCCTAAGTGGGTGGCTCTGGGCTCTTGAGTGCCTTTCGGTCCCTGAGATTTTAAAGAGAGGTTTGGCAGTGAAGTGATCAGGCCTCTGAACACGATGCATGGTGCACACTTTTCAGGAAGTATTCTCAGTTGCAGAGCTCTGATGCTTGTACTCTGTGTTCAAAGTCCACAAAATTAAACTCTGAGGTGTCCAGCTTCAAAAAACTCGTGTAAACCTATATTTTACTTTTTTAATTTCTGCTGTAAGGAAGAGTTCAACAAAAAGGACTATGCTATAGCCATGTTGGGCTACTGCTTATTGATAGGATTTCCTGTGAATCTTACTTGAATACCACCGGTGGGGAAGGACCACTCTGTAGACAGTCAAACCCAGGGCGATTCGGACAAGCTATATCACTCCTTACTTCGGTGACACCCTCCCCTCACTTATTTTTTCAACCTTTGGACAAAAATGACCCCTTGATTTATCAACGTAGCATTTCCTCGATCTACTGTTCGCATGCAGTGGTGGCAAGCAGTGGCATAAACGCTGGGCGTGTGCCCTAAACGTGTGCAAGGTGGAAAGACCTGAAGCACTGACGACAGCTGCCACTGCTGCTTCTAGGATCGGGGTGCAGGGGTGGAGCCACAGCTGTGGAATCTGTTCCCCTCCATCTGTGCTGCTGCCGTAATCTCTTTCTCTCAGCACTTAGAAGGGCAGATTCAAGGCAGATTTCGGAGGATTGTGGTCCTTTTATCTCGAAATTCCTTTGCTAGAGAACCACGGCTTAAATTTAACAAGTTTTTCCTTAAACTTTATTTTCTTGAACAGAATCTGTAGGACAAATGGACTCCTCCCTTCCCCCCCACCCCCGGCGACACAGACACACACACACACCACACAGAGCGAGTTAGTGAGAAAGATCTAGAGAGCCAGGGCTTGAGGAAGACATGAGACGCACCAAAATTTTTCGAAAATTGTAAGGGGCACTCTGATGAGCAAGATCAGTCACCAAAAAATCTCCAAAAAGTCCAAACGACAAGCAAGAATGACCCTTAAAAGTGAGGCTCGATTACACTCGCCCCTTGAAAACATGGAAATCCCCTCTCTAACATCCAAGAGGCTGGCTCTCTGTCGGTCCTCTGCTCCCCAATTCTCCTCTTGTGTGGGCAATTCTCTTTGCCCACACAAGCCCGAGGCTGCGACTGCCAACAAGCCGCATCCCTTTCCTTTCACGGTGGGAACGTGGGGAGGGAGATGCATTACAACTCTCAGGTTTCTACGCTTCAATTCACAAAACGCTGCGCTTCCACGGCCACCACCGAGTTCCGCTGCTGCAGAGCTAGAGGCGTTCGTTCCTTCATTCATTCATTCGCCCGTCAAACCTTCGCACCGCACCACTCCGCGGCAAGTGGCGAAAGGTTCCCCCCACGCCGTGGGAAGGGTGGGGCGCTCGCTCCCGGGAGCAGGTGCAGCAACCGGGCCGTAGGTTAACGTCTCCACCCGTCTCGCTGTTCGTGGACCGGCTCCGGGCCAAACGCCTCACCTTCGGTGGTGCGCGCCCCGGCCCGGCCCCGGGGCCGGCGCCTCCTCCACGCTCCCCCAGGAGCGGTGCGCACCTGCCCCGGAGGGAACGGCCGCGGAGCTCGCCCTCCGCGCCGCCCTCGGGTCAGGGGTAAGGCCAGGCGGTGGCTTAGGCTCGCCTGGGCTCCTCCCCTTCCTCTCTTCAGTTCTGACGCGGCCGTGGAGGCGGCGGCGGCGGCAGCGGCGGCGGCGGCGGCAGCAGTCCCGCGGCCCGAGGCGCACCCACCCGCTCTCAGACCTCGACTTCCTGTTCCCGTGGTGCGTCATCAGAGCGCGCCGCAGCCTCCCCGGGCGGGGCGGCTGGAGGGGAGGAGGAAAGGCCGGCCCGGGAAGGCGCACGGCGGAGAGGGCCGGGAGGGGGAGGAGAGCGGTTGCTAGGCGACTTGCGTCATCGCAGGGCGCCGCTCTCCTCCCGCCCCTCTGTGGAGTGAGGCGAGAGCCCCGCACAGAGCGAGGGAGACAGCGAGCTGTGCTCCGGGCGCCGCCGCCGCCACCGCCGCCGCCGAGAGCGTGAGAGCGAGTGAGTGAGCGAGCATCCGAGCGAGCCGGCGCCCGTGCACTGGCCGCCGCCGAGACCTGCGCCGCAGCCCGGGCCAGCGGGAGCCGCGGCCGCCGTCTGCTCCCCCCCTTGCCTTCCCGGCCGGCGGCGGCTGCTGCTGCACACGCCGGAGCCGGAGCCGGAGCCCCAGCCGGAGCCGGAGCCCGCGGCCGGGGGCAGGGAGGCGGCCGCCGCGGGTCGGGACTGCTAGCTGCTCAGCCGGGAGAGGACGCCCGCGAGGGGCCGGGCTTTTTGCCTCGGCCCGGGGCGTGGGGCGAAGGATCCCCCGAGGTGTAGGGAGGGGGTCCCGGCCGCCGCGACACATGCGGGAGCCGGGAGCGGGGGCGGCGCCGATCCGAGCCCGCCGAGTCCCCAGCCCAGCCACCGTCCTGTCCGGCCGCCCGGGGCCGTAGCATCCCGTCGCGGAGTGTATGAGCCGGAGCCTCCAGCCCAGGAGCCACCCCCGGGCCGGGGGGCGGGGACCCCGATGTGAAGCGGCCGCGGCGGCGTGGTGAGCGGCCCCGGCGCCGCGGTCCTCTCCTTCCCTTCCCCTCCCCTCCCCTTCTCCCCCTCTTGGGGGGGGCTTCTCCTCGGGCCCGCCGCCACCCCCCTCCCGGCTCCTCGGCGGGACTCCGGGAGTTCTCGGTGCCCCCTCCCCGCCCCAGCCCCCAAGGGCGGCGGGGCCGGGGGGGACCCGGGGGGCCAGCCGCAGCCTCCGCCCAGAGGAAACTTTACCCAAACAAAATCACCGAGCTTTGCGATCGTGACTGTCCCGGGACAAGTGGCTCAGGACGGGCAGAAGCCGAAGCCTGCAGAGACCCAGGAAGAGGAAAAGCGGTGAGCGGGGCCGCTGCCGCCTTGCTCCCGGCAGCGCGGAAGAGACCCGGGTGGCTGCCTGGTGGAGCGACGCTAGAACCGCTTCTTCCTCAGTTCCGCGCCGAGCCTTCCGCAGCTGCCGCCTCAGCCCGAAGAAGGAAGGGAGCCAGCCCACATTGTCAGCGCCACCGCTCTTCTCTGACGCGTGAGTGGACCCGGGGGAGGGGGACGTTCTAGGGTGGCAAGTGGGAGCGGATGGGTGCTTGTTGCTGGAGTTTGGCTGTTGTTTTCTCCGGAGGGTTAGCAGCGGAGACCTTTCCTTCCTGCTGATGGGAGAAAGCATCGGATTGCAGGAGTAATGCAAGTACACCGGGTTTTTCTTAAGGGAGCTGTGTCTTCAGAGTGGATGCTTGCGCCTTTCTGGACACTAATTGGCAAGGGAAGCTGAGAACGCTCATAGACAGCTCTGTCCTGTAGGTTTTCCTGCCACACCGGCTGTGATACACCACAGTGGTTTTTGTTTCAGGGAAACTCCCATGGATTCCCATGTGGGAATCACTTAAATCAATTCTTAATATTTTTTTTTTCTTTTTGAACATTGCATTTGAAGTTGCCCTTGGAAGGAAGAGCAGTTTTCGTGTTAGTACATAGTGAAATTTGGTGCCTCCAACACCTATTTCACAAGTGCACAGGTTGTAATGTGTAAGGAGGATGTCAGCACATTGCAGTTGCTCAGGAGAATTAGAGTTCCGAGGATGCACAGCTAACTCACTGAGACTAATTTCAGGGAGTGTGCTTACTAGACTGCCTCCTCCTGAAAGCTGCTGCACTTTCTTGTTCGTACTGCTCTTTTCTATTGTTTGTTTTTTTCTTTTGGGAGGTGGAGTAACATATTTTATGTGATTGCAAATTTTTGCTAGAGACTGAAAGGGCTTACATGCGGCTTCTTTTATTTGGCTTCACTTGTCAGCTAAAGGAGAAACTTCATACGCTTTGAAGAAAGTATTTGAGATATCTTAAGAGTGCTAAATTAGAGGTACAGAAAAGTGATGCTTCACATATGTAAGGGTAGCCTAGCTTTTTGTCCTTCCAGACAGCTACATGTGGGCAGAGTAGAGACCCTGTGTGGAAATGAAAGGAAGCCTGTGCTTATCTACCTCATCCCTATGTCCATGCAGCTTGATTTCTCCATTTAGGATCATGATTAAATTTGTTTGAAAGTTCCTCACATTTCACAGTGTTTGGGTCCTGTTCCCCCCTTCTCCTTTTAAAGTAATGAGCCTGTAACTTTATTAGTTTCTGCAATAAGTGACAATTCCGTTATCTTCAGTTTGCCTCCTCAGTCTTCCAGGATACAGTTTGAGGAATGATCAAACACCATGAGTTTACCTTTCTTGCTTTTATAGATTTTGGTTGTCTGTTGTCATCTGTCACCCCTGTTACTCCCCCTGCTGCTGCTGCTTCTGCTGCTGCTTCCTCATTTTCCTTCTTCCAGACAGAGTTTCTTTTGTTACCTTGGCTGTTCTGGAACTCACTCTGTAGACCAAGCTGGCCTTGAACTCACGGAGATCTACCTGCCTCTGCCTTCTGAGAGTTAGGATTACAGGTGTACGCCATGACTGACAGCTATGTCTGAACATTTTAAGAGTACTTTTACTTTTTTCCTCATTTCTTTGATCATTTTGCTCTCTTTTGGGTCTTCCAGCTCTTTTATTCTTTAGATGCTTTGTTCTTCATACACTTTTATGAGATCTTAAATTCTACTTAGATGAGAATTGGCATTAAAATATTGAATGGTGAATGTAACTGTAGGTCTAGAATGAAATATGTTTTTGGCTCTCTTAATCTTAATTTGTGACCCTGAAAAGTCACGAATTCCATTTTTTTAAAAAAGATGGTGATTGAGAAACTTAGTCTTCCATAGTTTTGCTTTTTGGAAAGAAGGGGAAGGCAAACCAAGAGGTGTATCTCGTTTGGTCAGGGCCGCACACCAAGTGCGGGCTGTGCTCGGTTTGTGGCTGGTTTAAATCATGAGGGTGATTTAGTGAATGTGGAGGCGACAAAACATTTGACACGCTGAGTCTTCTTTCTGACCAGTGACAGAGGCAATCCAATACAAATTGCACAGAGCTGTGGGAAAGGCTGGGCTGGTGCGATGGCCCACTGGCTGAAGCTGCTGGCCGGGGCCCTGGAGTCCAATTCCCAGAACCAAAGGTGGAAGGAGAAAACTAACTCTGCAGAGTCGTCCCCTGACTGGCGGCACAAACATGTGAAGTAGTAGTAAAAATAAACAAACCTTTTAAAAAGTGTGGGAAAGGGGCACATGTATGACCATTGTTACTCTGAGATCACCATGTGCCAGGCACTGTCACTGCACATTTTCATTAGGGAAATGCTGAGTTTTGGACTACCCAGGAATTGGAGTGTCTGAGCCAAATCTTGCAAGTTTTCAAAAGAAAAGAACACATGCAAACAAAATATTACAGACTTAGAGTCAGAACATGCAAAAGGTGACTGTCATTAGGAAGTTAGCTTGTAGGAATGCCTGCCTGCTGAGGGGGGTTCTCTACCGGCTAAGGTCCGTGTGCTTGTGCAGCCGCAAGGTGACAGTTCATAAAGGAATTTGAAAACAGTGCTCCATAGAGCACTGTGATGGAGAAGCTGTATTTTAGAGACATTGTGCTGGCTTTTGTTTCATTAGGAGACCACCATGGTTAGTTACCTGGGGGCCACACTGGAGGAGGCGAGTAAAGGAAATGCTTTAAATGCTTGTATGGTGCTAGTAGTTTCTGATGAGCAAGAAATCAGAACCGGGGCAGCTGACTTTGCTCTCGATGGTGGAGTTTGCATTAGGAGCTGGTTCATATAGTTCATGTGTTGGTTCATTCTGATTTTCTTCGCTTCTCTCTCTTCACTCTGTTTCTTGTCCCAGGCTCACCTTGAACTTGCTGTGTAGCTAATGATGACCTTTTAACTTGTTATCACCCTGTGAGGACTTGAATGCTGACCTTACTGGTGTGTGCCACCTTTTCTGGTTTTGTAGTGCTGGGGATGGAACCTGGGGCTCTGGGCATGCTTGGCAGGTACTTTATCACCCGAGCAGCATCTTCCGGGCCCCACCCCATGTAGCTTTTGGGGCGGCAGAGTAGCTGGGGAAATATGCTGCTGACAGTGTAGGTAGAGATGGGTGTCATTCTCACAGCCTTAGGTTTTTGAGATTGCTGATGCGGCAAAAGAGCTGAAAATGAGTTTTAAATATGGGGGATTGGGTAGATTTGTGTTGGCATAAGCATGGGCATAGTAAGAGAAGAGACACTCCCCAAAAGAGATGCTTCCTAAGTGATCGAGAGTGACAGCTGAAAAGAGAAGTAGCCTTTAAACATAGCTGCCAGCTCAGTCCCAGGGTAGGTAATCCTGTTGTAGAAAGTCACATGTTTCCAATATCATGCATAGATCCTGAGATGCAGTTTCAGAAAGCAGGACTGTGTTAGGGAGCTTATGAATAAAACTCAGATTTTTAAAGTTTCCTTGCATTGTTATAATCTTAAGTTCGATCTCAGTCCTAATGAAGCAATTCTGAAAATTAGTGGCAGAGAAGGCTGCCTCTCTTACGTGTAGATATGTGCTTCTTTGTGTCCCTTACAATGGAGGGCCATTCCTGTGTTAACTACGCATGTATTAGGGATTCTTTTTGTGTGTAAAGTTAAAACTAAAAATAGTTTAGTACTTAGGGATGTTTAAACAAAACAAACAAACAAAAAACCCAAGCCAGATGGTGGTGCTGCACACCTGTAATCTCATTGCTCAGGAGGCAGAAGCCTCTCTGAGTTCCAGGCCAGCCTGGTCTACAGAGGAGTTCCAGGACATCCAGGGGTACACAGAAAAACCTTGTTTTGAAAAATCAAACAAAAATACACAATCATCCACTTTATGTTTCTCTGTTTGAATTCAGTGCCTTCTAAAGCTTCTTTGGCTTCTAAAGAGAGTATTCAGTTGGCAAAAATCTCTTGGAATAGGTTTATTTATTTATTATGTATACAGTGTTCTGCCTGCATGTACAGTTGGGTGCCAGAAGAGGGCACCAGATGGTTGTGAGCCACCATGTGGTTTCTGGGAATCAAACTCAGGACCTTTGGAAGAATAGCCAGTGCTCTTAACTTCTGAGCCATCTCTTGAGCCACCAATAAATATTTTTAAAAAAGGAGGTAGGTCTACAGTGATTTTAGGATGAGGATATAGCTTTGGAATATTTGCTATGTAGAGATCCTTCTACTTTCATTGTTTCTCGCATGGGTGAGACATGAGTCTATTTAAAAGGCATTAGAATTAATGTGATTTACTTGTATGATGGGACTCCATGATGGAGAATGGTAACATTTACACTCTTCCCTGGCGGTTTTGCTGTTAAGAGGAGAGCCTTGAAGTTTTGTGTCTATGTGTGTCTCAGTTCTGGAGTCTGGGGGGTTAGCAGCAACGCATGTAGATACACTTTGAAAATGGTTCTTGAAGTCTTGGTGGACGAAAAGGAAGGATTGGCAATGCCTCAGTGTGGGTCAGCATGCCCTGTCACAACTTTCAGCTGTTTGTGCCATGTGAATGCAGCTATAGAAAAGTGGAAGTGTGCTGTAACTGCTCCAGTAGGATCTCATGCACAGGAGCAAGAAGTAGATGGAATTTAGCCTCTATGTGGAAGTTTATAGACGCTGGCAGAGGGCAGCTAAACCTTCCAGCATATGAAGTGTGAGCAGCCTTACACTACGGAGCCAGAGTGGCCAGTGCAGGGGGTTCTGCTTTCTAGATGCGATGTGGTCCTGTGGGCGGCATTGTAATGATGGTCTGCGTTTACACTGATGAGAGTTCTGGACCAAGGAGCAGAGGTGATGCTCTCTAGATGGACCTGAGAAGTAGAGATGTCTTATCAAAATATGCCATAATTGATGTCTTAGTTACTTTTCTATTTCTGTGACAAAATAGGACTGAGGAAACTTACTTAAAAAAATTACAATTTCAGAGGATGAGTCCATGGTCAGCATGGTGGGTGAACATGGCAGCAGGCAGTCAGGCATGGCACACGAGAAGTAGCTGAAAGCTGGCAACCGACCCACAAGCACAGGAGACTCAGTGACACACCTCTTAGTCTTCTCAAAGCAGTTCACCAGCTGGAGGCCGAGGGTTCAAATCTGTGAGCCAGTGAGGGCCGTTCTC